CTCTCTGCTCTGACCACTTCACCTGCATGTAAATGTTTTTAATCGCTATTGTTTTCTTTTTTTTTGTGTGTGTGTGTGTGGTTTCTTTTTTTACCCTCAGCAGATTTCCAGTCATGTTGTGTTAATTTTACTGACAAATAATCCTCCTGCTGCCCTTGGGTCAAAATGACGAGGCCCTGTGAGTCATTTTGATGTAAAAGCAGCAGCAGTGTTAAGATTATTTTTGTATATTTATTTTAACTGTACAGAGTTTCTTTCCAACCTTCTGACAAAAAAAAAGTCAGTTAAGTCTGCTTAGTAAACGTTTTGTGTTGTTACTGGGTAACAAAACAGATCATCTTATTTCTTTTAGAAATACCAATCTAATTGCTGTACCTCTACAATTATACAATTAAAGCTTTGTGTAAACGTATACATTTTAAATACCCTTTTATTAATGTTTAGCTCAGTTAAACACGAGGTAATTTTTTATTTTATTTTATTTATTTATTTTTGTTTTGCTGTAACAAATGTTCCAATCCTGTGCTTTCGCTTTGATCACACACAGGAAGTACAAATGTCACTTTTGAAACAGGTTGAACAGGACAGAGAGGAGTGAAATGTTGACTGAGTGCTTCAACAGCACACTGAAAATTTAACAAGCAGTTAATAACACACTTGTCACCTCACGGAAAAAAAAAAGAGAGGAAGATATGCTGGTATGCAGACAAGTTTGTTCTCCTGCTCTGTGTACCCAATCTAAAGTACAACATGGCTGACTACAGGCTTGATTTGAAAAAAGTCCTGCCAAATTTGTTATTCTAAATAAATTGCATTGTGTGGAAGCCCAGTTTGTGAGCAACTGCTAATTAGTGAAGATTGACAAACTGATCTACAAGACTTAACAAGTATTTAAGGTGCAAATCACAAAGCCATAAATGGAACATGAAGTGTGGTTTTAACAAACACAAACCTGTTGATGCAATACGGTTGTAAGATATGCATGTTGCTGCCTTCCGAAGCAGATCAGAAGTGGGAAAACATCCACCCAGCAGCTTTTCCTGTTCTTCCAACCTCCCAGAAACAGYTTCCTATTCAGTCCTCTTCACAGGAAAACACACTAAAGCTTTGGATCCTAAATCCCCGACTGGCAACGACCCAAACGGTTCCCTGTGAAGTCCGGCAGAGTTGACCTGTGAAGCAGCCCGCAGCGACAGTCGTTCTCAGACTGACTTCTGACAGGACAAACTGCTCTGTTTAGTTCTCTCCCTCCCTTTCAGCTGTTCTAGACCCGCCTCCATCTACACTATCCCACCTCCCGCCTCTCTGTCTGCCTGAATGTGTAGTAGTCCCTCTGTCGTCACAGCTCACTGCTGTTCTGACAAACTGTCCCCGCTGCTTCTCCGCCCATCCTGTTCTCCATCATTCATGCTGATTTTCACACTCCTGTTAGCCTTCTAAAGCCCTTCCCTTCTTGTGTGAAACTCGTTTTTTTTATCTTGACCCCGAGGAAGAAGAAACCTCTAAACAGAATATTCCCTCTGCCCCTCCGTACTCCTACAGCTTTAATGTGAACTGGGTTACATAAGAGCAGGAGTGATGCAGACTGTGCAGCACACTGAGCCCCGGTCCTCTGAGGACACAGAGATGTTAGACAGGCCAATAAATGAAATGAGGCCGTGCTTTCATCTCTCTCGGCTGAAAGTGTGAAAGTTATTTTGCAGAGCAGAGCTGCAGCTACGTACCTCTGAATTTGTGCAGCTTAACGATCAGAAGTGGGGTTCATGTCAGGCGACAGCACGTGATCGAGCTTGTCTGCATCCTCAGCGCAGAAAACATTTTCCTTTCTGCTCTTATCAAGCCAAGTTCATCTGGCAGCTCTTCTGGTTGTAGTTAAAGTTTTGTTTGTTGTTTGTTCGAGAAACACTGAATGCCCTGGCTCGGCACAGCCAATGCTAACAAGACAAATATTTATGCCGTCGGTTTGAGAAGAGCTACTTGTAGCAACATGAGCATCATTAGTTGCAGAAAAACCATTAACATCAGAGTAAAAGCCTAAAGTCAGCAAACGAATCTGTTGTTTTGCCATTAATTATTATTAGAACCTGCACTTAACTTTTTCTGTCTATTTTGTTCATGGTGCATGTTGTCAGAAAATTGTTAATGAATCCAAATTTGTCCAAAGTGATAAATTACCCAACATTAWACGATTTTGATGAATTGATACTTTCCAGGAAAATAAGTATGTTGGTACATTCTGATTGTTTTTTATTGTTTATGATGACTTTTTATGTTTTAGATCCACCTTTGAGCGTGATGATGTTTTCTGTATTTGTGATCAGTTAAGATCCTGCTCGTCAGTCTGGCCACGCCCTCTCTCACCTGTTCTCGTTACTCAGCTCAGTTTTCTTAATTAGTTTTTGTCACTTAAACTGTGTTTCCTTGTTTGTCTGCAGCTCACACATACTTATTCTGTTTCAGTCATCTCATTTCCTGTTCTATTATCCACTGCTTGGGTGAAGATCTTGTTACGTACGCTGACTTTGCTTTCGCTGACCATTTCTTGCACACTCTACATGGAAACCTGACAGAGTTATTCAGTAGAACGGTCAGTTCACTCAGGTTGCAGCAGTTTCTGGTTCTGAATCACAGAAACACACTGTGGAGATTTAATACAACTTAATTAGATTTTCTTGGTGTTGATGGGACAGACTTGTAGCTTTCTGACAGAAAACACACTCACAGCTGTTTTTAGTGTCAGTAACACCTAAACCATACTGTTAAAATAACTGTTTAATAACACAGTAATTGCATAATTTCAGACGTTAGAATTAAAAGCTGACATTTTACTTTGACTCATCTTAAAAAGCTTTGTTGTTTGTTTAAAACTGATTTTTCCTCATTGAAATTTTGTTGGTTTCTGTTTCGTGAGAGCTAATTATATGTTGAGTGCTACTTAAAAAAACAAGTGAATGGATTAGACTTGATTAATGAGTCATTTGAACTGTTTTACTTTTTAAATCAAGGACCACTATCGTGCATGTTTCAAGTGTTTTCCTGCTCTTTCAACAGGTCTTCAGGTTCTGCAGAGACCTGATAATGACTTGTTTATTCAAATCAGGTGCAATGAAACAGAGAAGCATCTAAAGCAAGCTACTGGYCCAAATTAAATAATCCAGACTCTGGTAGCAGGGTTCTGGTTRGACTGAGCCGTTCTGGTCAACATGTTTTAATCCTGCAGAACAGGCTCGACRTGAGGCTCAGTACAGAATACTTCTGTCTGTTGTTTTCACAGTATGCAYAGTATAACTAAAAAAACAGTTTATAAGTATTTTTAGACGTATGATACAGTGTGTGTCTTCTAGATGGAAACATGACTGTAACAGTGAACCCAGAGTTTCGCTATTTCAATGATTACTGTCACATTTGACATTTTTCCCTAGTTGGTTGGCATATTTTACAGAACATAAGGTGTGTGATGTAACATAACATTCATGATGTGTTCCTGTGACAAATATAGTAAATCATATTCATCTAGTTCCAAGGTTTTCAAAGTATGAGTGTAAAAAAGCTGTTATAATAATAATAATAA